ATCATATTCGAAAGGGGTACATATATAAGAGATGGACCAGACGAGTTTAATTTAAGACTACGAAAGAAGTATTTTCAGAGTTACAAGTTAAAATGAAATACGTTTCACACGTTCCATATAGATAGTTATAGAGCAAAAATTAAAATGTAATCGAGAACTTCTTACAATTATCCCTCTCATATAGATCGTAGTGCTTTTGGACTTCAAGTTGTGATAGAGAAGTCTTTGAGCCAATTGAGGCACATAATGCCCAGCATAGCTCTCGCCAGCGATGTAAAAAGCTCTATACTTGTACTCTGGGAACCTCTCAAGCCAGTTAACCAGAAATACATAATTATCGTTGGCTGTTTTGTTGTCGCCACCAGTCACAAAATCGACCTTTGTTTTTGAGTACGAGAACCCCACCCCAGCAGGAGTTTCCAAAAATAGCACATTTGCCACTAGAAAAAGAGAATACATACGAAACAACTTATATAAATAAAATAAATGAAAGAAGAAAGAGAGAATGTTTATGCGGATGTCAATTGAATATTGATGGTGTGAAGAAGAGAACTCAATATGATAAGATAACACACCAAGGTTCCATGCATATTCGTTTTTGTATAATGTTCTCCCATCACTGTAAACCCGAAACGGACCCAACTCCTGCATTGCTCCATAACCAAGAGAAGAACACCCAGGTCCTGCCGCAAAATGGTCACAATTAAATTAGATAAATAATATATATATATATAGCATATGATTAAAAAATGGTTCAATAAATTATAAACAAGAAATAAAATCGAAAAGAAAGAAAATCGGCACACGCTCACACCTCCGTTGAGCCAGAGAAGAAGAGGCAATTTGCTTGCAATATTCTTATCAGCCTCTACAAAGTAATAGAAGAGAGCTCGACCGGCCTTTTCATTCACGGTGACATATCCGCTATACTGCTTGAACGAAACAGGAGGTTGCCCAGGCAACCTTTTTATTAGGTTCTTCTCTTTTAACCCTTCCTGTGATAGAATTTCAGCTTCGGGAAAATCGGTATTAAGATTGAAAGGCATTGTGTCGATGTGATCAGTTTTAAACTTATTTTTGTGCATATGGGAAAGAGTTTCAGTTTGCCTCTTCCCATTGGTATTTGCTATAAGGCATGCTGAAAGAAGCATGGAGAAAAGAACTAGGGATGTTTTATAATCCATTGTTCTTTCCTTTTGTGTTCAAACTTGAGGAAGCTTGAAAAGATAAAAAAGAAAATAAAAAGAAATATTGATATTATGCTATTATTACTAATATTTATAAGAATCTCTTCACCTTGGATATAAATGTAGTGTCGTCAGCACCTTTCTAAGCCCTTATGTAATTAATTTTTTTCGTCCTTACGTAAGCCCTCATGTTATTAATTTTTTTAGTCCCACCTTATTGGCCAAAGAGGTCTTTCTGTAATTGATTAGAAATTGATTTTTAAGGGACACGGTTGACGCGGAAATGTTTGACTTACCTACCAAGAATGTACTAAGCCAAGAATGTAGTAAGGCTATGTTTGTTAAATAAATAAGTTAGCTTATAATTTATTTGATTAGTTTATAAGTTATCTGAATTTAAATAAGTTTTGGTTGGTAGGACAAGTTTTTTCAAAAACCTCGAGCATATCTCATAAGCTTATTTGGGTAGTTTTTCAAATAAGCTCGTTGAAGTTTTTTTTTTTT